ATATTCAAGTAAATGAAGGAATCATTAGAGCTGAAAGAGACCTTGAAGATTATTAAATCCATTTCACAGATGGAATGACTGAGGCCTAGAAAGTGGAGTGAATTGTCCCAGGATCACAATCAATAAGAAAACACTATAGTTTCTTGAGCAAAAGTATTAATGCTTGCCTTTGGACATTGGGGGATTTGGTTACTTTAATGAGACTAGAGTTGAACTACTCTTGCCAGAGATAGGACTTTTATCCTCCAACTCAACTGTAAGGTCTCTAAGGGAAGGGCTTTATAGTCTCCCAGCTCTCTTCCTCTGGTAGTTGGCTTTATGTTTTATAACTCTTCTGATGACGCTTTCTACAGGAACTGGCCCCAGATCAAAATGATGGTCTTTCAGGGGTAGCTAGGTGATGTGTTGGATGAAAAGCTGGGCCTGGAGTCAGGAGGACCTGAGTTCAAATCCAGCCTCAGACACTTACTAGCTGTGTGATCCTGAACAAGTCACTTAACTTCTGTCTACCTTGGTTTCCATAAAATAGGGACCGAAGCACAGTACCTTGCAAGGTCGTTACAAGGTTCAAATAGTTATAAAGCATCGAGCACAATAACTGATACATAGTAGGTACGTAATAAATTATTGTTTCCCTTCCACCTTGATTTACTCTTTGTAAGAATGGCTTGTGGGATGGCTTTTCAGATCCAAGGCTCTATGATACACGGTGAACCACATATCCCTGAGGCCTGGGTCAGGGTAGAGAAGTGTGAACCCAATCCAAGAAACACCCTTCAATAAATGATGGGACTCACAGAAAAACTCATATTTTTAAAGGACCTATGTAAGGGATGGATGAATATAAAGGTGACAAGGTACTATAAGAAGAGTATTAGAATGTTCCATTGCAAACTGAGCTGAGACTTTCAACAGTGCCAGATAAATCAAAAAGCAGGATTGCTGGTTACTTGTCTGTTTTGTTTCGCTTTAGCTATATTGAGGAAAGAGTAAGATCAAGGAAGGGATAGTACCCTTGCCTGGGGTGAATGGGAAGATGATGACAGATGATGAAAATAGGATAGGACCAGTGAATTTTTATTTTTCTTCTACCATGGAAAATTATACTTAGACTGAGAACAAAATAAAAATGGTTAACAAGAAATTAAGAAAGCATGGTGGAATGAGCACTGGATTTAGAGTCCCAAACGATGACTACAAATCCTGGCTGTGACTCTTAACCACCTGTGAGAGCTTCCCATCTTTGTGCAAAACCTGCTCTGGGCCGCCTTCGCAACTCCTACTCCTACTGGCAGGTTGGGTCTCCAAAGGGCAATGACTACTTCTTTCCTTAGGGTTCTATCATTGGGTAACCCTGAGAAGCAGCAGTATTCTAACACCATCACTCATAATCCCCTATCAGATGTGCTCTCCTTTCCCTAGTGTCAATTAACCAGTTGATATAAACTAGTTTTCACAAAGAGATATTTACTAAGAAGGTATAGCAAGGGTAGAAGTACAAAAGCTTCCTCCCAAACCAGTAGGGGCAATCTCTCCTGAAAAAAATGTACTCAATATTCAGTGGTAATGAAGTTTCCCTCTTCAAAGAGGGACATACTCTCCCTTACACACACACACACACACACACACACACACACATTCCTTGGGGAGAGTGAAACAAACTTGAAGCACTTTTTTTTTGCCTGCGTAGAACTTTTTTTTTTTAAATACATGGGCAGCTGGAATAGCCAGGACAAATCCAGAGTCCTGTGGGGAGGCCAGTGGTGGGTGGGGGGCCAGAGGCAGATGGTCAATGGCATACTTAAAGCAGTTTGAGGGTCAACAGGGCCCTTAGCAGGTGCTGGTGGAACCTAGATGGGCAAAGGTTTCCCCCCCCCCATGCTCACACCATTCCCCAGCCTGGGGAAACTTCCCTAATGCCCTAAAGCCCAAGAGGGTGGAGTTGGTTGGGGAGGTACAGCTGGGAGGGGTCAGCTGCTTAGACATGGGCCAGGATCAGCGGCCATAGTCCCTGATGGTGAGGTGACTGGGAGGAGGTGTCCAGTCATTGGAAGCCTCTGGCTCACTGGTGATCTCTTCACTTATTCTTCTGTAGGTGAGTCATGTCTGCCTTGGTTGTTTCCCAGGTCAAACTAGCTGCTGTGTCTAGGGCTCATCCACTCAGGTCAGTCACCAAGCTGTCAGTGGAAGCCAGAAACACACGTAGGGAAGAAGTGGAGCTAGAGGATATCTTGAGACTACTCCTGGCCTGACTTGAGAGTCTTTTTCTCCCTCTAGGAGTCCCCTCCAAGTTAACTTCTGGGGGGGAATATTGTCATTTCACAAAGAAGTTACTTAGTGGGGCTAGCTTCTTGCAGGTCTTGTTGTCTTGGCCAATAGGTCAGTCTACTGCTCGGTGTGGTCAAGCAGGTCACTCCTCAAGACTAGCTCCACTAGGCTCGGTTACTATGCACATGCTGGTTCCTGAGGAGACTTCTGATAGATCTACAAAGCTCAGAATGTCCTAACTTGGCCTCTTTGGGTCTATTTTGTCTCCAGGTACTTTTTCACCTAAGCTCAAGGAAGAAAAAACATAAAAGATGAAACTATCATGCACTCAGGGACACATGGTGACCAGGTGGGAGATAAGGTAGCCTGTTTTCTCCCTACCTAGTGAAGCACAGGAATATTCCTTACTCATAAACAAGGAAGACAGAAGTAATTTGTTTTTAAATCCAAGGGAGGAGAATATTGATCTTTTTGCATTCAAACTTCATTCTAGCTCTATCATTAATCTGGTAGGCTCTGAAGCCAACTAGAAACCTCCTCCTCACTACATCATCCCATCCTCCAGTCTTTTATGACCAGAAAATTGCTCTCCAAGCCTTCCTATATTGGGCTGGAACCACTCAGGAAAGATTGTGCATCTTCTGAATAGCTCATCAGGAAGGACAAACCCAGGAATGTACTAAGGACTGGGTCCTCATTGACTCTTCTCCCATTACATTTGTAAAATGAGGAAGACGGAGTACATGAAATGAAAGGTTGCTTCCATCTCTAAAACCCAACCATGTCCCAGGGAATGATTCACGAAAGGAGTACAAGCATGCCATCTGTCCCATCCTAATTGCCCCTCCTGCTTCAGTCTCCACCCAAGAACTATGTCGCTCTTCTTCCCGAGTCATGTCTCCCTCCCAACTCTTGTGCTGCTGGTTTTAGGGCTTCTCTGTCCATGAAATGGGCTTGAAGACAAAAGAAAGGGAAAGACAGAGCTTAAAAATGTTTTCGCTGAATTTTAACCCCCAAAAGGCAGGGTTAAATAGGGCAGGGAAGTGAGGGGGCATAATTCTATCAATCCTTCATGTTCCAGGTGAGCCTTCTTTCTCCTACGGAAGCAAGAACCTTGAAAGAGAGGGACTGAGCCATCAGGGCTCAGTTCATTCTTCCTTTAGATGAACTTAAGTTGTTAGGATACAGACTCATAGAATTCACTGGAAATTTAGGGGTTTTTTTCTAAGTCCTGTGTCTTTAACCTTCAGGGTAACCTTGTTTCAGTCTGATCTCATCACTGGACCACTCCTTGATGAGCATTTGTGCATGATTAATTAGCTCTCTGGAGTGGAGGCTGCTCTCTTGAGCACTTTGTATCTCCTTCTGACTAATCTGCAAGCCCGCCCTGTATCTGTCTCTGAGAAGCTCCCCCACTAGTCTGCCCCCTACTCTCTTTGAAAGCTGCTCCATAGACTCCCTCACCCTGACTGTGAGGTGCTACCCACACCAGCCTGTAGCCTAATCCTGATGCTCAAAGGATCACTGGGCAGTCTGAAAAGCAGAGGAGGTAGAGTCACAGGACCTGGGTTCAAATTTAAGCCTTGCTAATTATTATCTGGGTAACCTGGAAGTCACTTAATTTATCTGGTCCTCAGTTTTCTGGTATGCAAATAAGGGAGTTAAATTAAATAGGCCTCTTTCAGTGCTAAATCTATGATCCTATGATCCAGAAATCTACTCTCCTCGGTATCACCTTTACTTTACCATATGATGTTCATCTTTAGCAATTAAAGCTAATAATATTGGGGGGGTAGGATGTATTTAAAGAATAGAGATATCTAATGTTCATTTGGAAAACAGTATGGTGCAGCAGAAAAGAAAAAAAAATGGATTCAGATTCAAAAGACCCAGGTTTGAGAATTGACTGCCATTTTACTATCTGAATGACCTTAGACAATATACTTCCCTTCTCTGGAGCTCAGTTTCTTTATCGTTACAGAAAGAAAGAAAGAAAGAAAGGAAGGAAGGAAGGAAGGAAGGAAGGAAGGAAGGAAGGAAGAAAGAAAAAAGAAGAGAAAAGAAGAGAAGAGAAAAGAAAAGAAAAGAAAAGAAAAGAAAAGAAAAGAAAAGAAAAG